TCCAGGCAGACGTTTGTTAATCTCAAAAGTTGACAAGCAACAAGGAAAATGCCACTCATGCCTATATTTTCCTTGGCTTATTGTTGATGATGAAAGCTTCTAGGAGCTCTTATTTGGTAATAAACAACAATATCCACACAAGTGATGTTTGACATATGGAAAATCACCATAGGAAAGAGGAAGGCAATAACAAAAGCATCAAGCATCACATGCAGGCTCTAAGAACACACCCCAATTGAAAATCGCAGAGAAACTTGACTATGCTGGTTGTAAAAGCATCAAGCATCACATACTCTCAGAAGAATTTGTAAAGGGCCGTTGAGGGTTGAAAAAAAGAGCATCAATATTACTCAGCCTGAGTTTTTTTGTCCCCTTTTCCACATTTTCTACTTTTTTTCAGAGATTTTGCTCTCTACAAAATGTAGCCATGAGTAGTTGAAATAGAGATGGAAAGGCTTACAGCAGCATCGAACCTCTGAACAGCCGTAATAGGGAAGTAGCGACCACCCTTCAATTCCTTCTGCAAATACCACAAAAAAACAATGTTCATTTCTAAGATAAATGGCAAAAGATGAACATGGTTATGCCATATGTGAAAGAATTACACTAACCTCAGCAGTAAAAATGAGCATCCAGGTTCTGCCAGGGGATTTTGATCCACCAAGCGTATCAAGAAACCCGGAGGGGTCAAGTTTTGCCTTCTCAATGACAGATAGAGCAGACAGAATCTCCTCTGCAGCCACCCGTCTTGTTTTTGCAGCATTCTTGAGCACTTTCACACTCTCCTCAACTTCCTTAACCCAACAATAACAGCACAACTTAATCAAAAAATGGTCTCAAACTAGAACAACACACTTAAATTCAAGTAAATTATTCTCGAGAAATTTAAACAAGATTGTGCTGCTGATGTTGTGTCCTGCTTGTAATTGGAAATCTCAGTTTCTTTAGCATGAGTCAGGGTTACTAACTACGCATCTGAAGATAAAATAAAGGAAAAGCATACTCCGTTGGGCCGTGGTTCCTGGACAAGTAGAGGTGTGGTGGTGGCACTTTGTTCCTTGCCATCAAGGGTTGCTCTGGTTCTTGCTCTGGGAAATTTGAGAATCAGATTGCGGCTTGTGGCCTTGGCATGAGGTGGGATTTGGAGGGGAAAACTTGAGGGTCTGAGTCTGAGGGATGCTTGAGAAGAATTCAGAGCCATCAAGTAGGACACTGCTGTCTGTGAGCCCATTGCTGTCACTCTCTATAAGGCTGGCATGCAACTCTCTCCACCTTTTATGTCTTGAATCTGTTGATCCATTCATTCACTTCTGTTTCCGAGGGGATTAGATTTTTATATTTAACCAAAAAATAATGAAAGTAATAATAATAATAATAATATTGAAGCAAATAATAATATTGAAGAAAGGAGAGGGCGTGCAAGGATAAATGTGGAATAAATGCTCTTAATCCTAAACTATTTTTAATTAATTTAATGTAAGTGAGGTGAGAATTCGGTTCGAAATCAATATAATTTAGTTCATTCGTATCTGATCCAATATAAATTAGATTGTGATTTTTTCAATCCAATCCAATCATATTAGATGTTTAAATCCAATCCAATTGATATTAGATTGGATTGAATTGGATTATTAGTTTTGATAATAGAAAAAAACAATAATGAAATATTAAATATTTATACTTAGGTTTAATCTAATCAAACATATTAATAGATGTAAATGTAAATATAAATGAAATACTAGAGAAAATTGTTTTGATTATATAATATATTAAACTTAAATGACTTAAAATATTCATAATCTTTTCAACTACAAATACTTAAAAGAGCAAAATAAGCATAAAATTAACCATATTATATTGGAGTGGATTCTTATAAGCAAACCACCATCTGATCTAATTACATTGATTTTGAAAATTACGAATCCAATCAAATCAGCCAAATTATCAAAACTGATTAAAATTGTATTGTATCTATGAATTTGGACGAATTGAATTGAATCTTATACATCCCTAGGTGAGACTCGAAGTTGTTTGTAAGGACGCCTAGTGGCCAATTGGCCTTAACCCTTTTAAGAAGGAAATTTGGGAAATGGAAATATGTGACCCAAATAAAGGAAAACGGATAACCCGAATAGTTAAAACGAACCCCAAAATTCCAGGCGAGAAACCACATTTTGGCATCTTCCCTCATTTCTCTCTCTCTCACTCTCACACTCTATGAGTCTGTCTGACTCTGGCTTTCTCTCAATCTCCTCCACACCCAACCACACCAGTGCTGGTGTCAATCACCTAATGATCAACGCTCTCACACCGATCATCTTCTCCACCAACTGGCCTGAGCCTTAACATAAGAAAAATAAAAGAGCCCTCATTTCAGATCAGAATTATCAAAACACCATAACCAGCCAACCATGTCCTCCCGCAAGCTCCTCTCGACTCTCATCCGTACCTCTCTCCGCCGGACCGTCGCAACGACCAAAACCGCAGTCCCCAGATCCCCCTTCACGCGCCCCACAGGGTATCTCCTCTCACGCGTCGCCCACTACTCCACATCATCGGCTGTCGCACCATCTGCGCCTCCCAAACCCGCTACACAGTCTGTGAGTGGCAAAATCACCGACGAGTTCACCGGAAAGGGGGCCATCGGCAAGGTCTGTCAAGTCATCGGGGCCGTCGTCGATGTTCGGTTCGACGACGGCTTGCCGCCGATCCTCACAGCTCTCGAGGTCTTGGACAACTCGATCCGACTGGTGCTTGAGGTAGCTCAGCATCTAGGCGAGAACATGGTCAGAACCATTGCCATGGATGGGACCGAAGGGCTTGTTAGAGGTCAAAGAGTCCTCAACACTGGCTCTCCCATCACTGTAAGTTCCTATTCTCTCGCTTTCTAATTATCTAAGTTGAAATCTTTTTTTTTTTTTTTTGGGTATGCTGGTTGCGTTTGGGATCATACATTTATGTTCTTATTGTGAATGTGCGTTTCTGAGATTATCTCGAGCAATATATTTTTTTTCTTAAAGAATTTTTTTAAATGAATGGATGCGGATTTAAGACTCTCATATCTAAATTTTTTATCTTTAGGTGGCTGTTGGTAGAGCCACCCTTGGCCGAATTATGAATGTTATTGGGGAGCCCATCGATGAGAGGGGTGAAATAAGTAAGCAGCCGCAGAAGATCTTAACCTTTTTACGTTATTTTGCATTTTGAGTATTTGTAAATAGTATTCAGCAAATAAATGATACAACTTCATGTTATTTTGTTTTCATTTCATCAGAAACCGATCACTTTCTACCCATCCATAGAGAAGCTCCAGCTTTTGTTGAGCAGGCAACTGAGCAGCAGATTCTTGTCACTGGAATTAAGGTATGTCTGTGGTCTGCTACATAAATAATAGACATCATAGATTCTAAGGAAACTGAGTCCAAATTCAAGGTTAATGGTGGTGATGCATACATTTGGATTGCCAAATTCTGGAAATGTTATTGGTTTCTGTTCTGTTTGTCACGATCATTTTTGGACTGACAGAGTTGAAGAGAGGACCAAGGACCATTGGTGCTTTCTTCTGTGAAGTATTAGTAATTTTTTTCAAAGGAAAAGTTGTCTTCTATCACTATCAGCATCAACAGAAACCAATAAGATTTTTGTCTGATGTTTTCAAGGTTGTTGATCTTCTTGCACCTTACCAAAGAGGTGGAAAGATTGGGCTCTTTGGGGGTGCTGGTGTCGGGAAGACAGTGCTTATTATGGAACTCATCAACAACGTAGCAAAGGCTCATGGTTAGTTCCATCTAAATGTATTTTAGTTATCCTCTTCTGTTGAATATTGATTTCTTGAGTTATAAAATGTTTCATCCTCCTTCTGCAGGTGGTTTCTCAGTGTTTGCCGGTGTGGGAGAACGCACAAGAGAGGGTAATGATCTGTACAGAGAAATGATGGAAAGTGGTGTCATTAAGCTTGGAGATCAGCAGGTTAACTTACCGCCACACTACATATTAACTTTTCCAATTTTAATTGGCATTGTGTTCTTCTGAAAGCCATTCCCTTGTATTGCAGAGTGAGAGTAAGTGTGCTCTTGTGTATGGTCAAATGAATGAACCCCCTGGTGCCCGTGCTCGTGTTGGGCTCACAGGGCTGACTGTGGCTGAGCATTTCCGAGATGCTGAAGGACAGGATGTGCTTCTCTTCATTGATAACATATTCCGCTTTACTCAAGTAAGCTCTGTCTCCACACACACAAACACGTGCATTTCGGTTGATATATTTTCTATTTCTTCTGAGCATATGCTGCCATTTTGTTGTCTCTGTTCGCCAGGCTAACTCAGAAGTGTCTGCTTTGCTTGGTCGTATCCCATCTGCTGTCGGCTACCAACCTACCTTAGCTACTGATCTTGGAGGACTTCAAGAGCGCATTACTACAACCAAGAAGGGTTCCATCACCTCTGTTCAAGCTATTTATGTACCTGCTGATGATTTGACAGATCCGGCTCCAGCAACCACTTTTGCCCATCTTGATGCCACCACTGTGCTGTCGCGACAGGTTTATTGTCTTTTAAATTCAAATAAATTTTGAAGCAGGAATCATTACTCATTTTTTGTTGTGCACCATATGTTCTTAAATCTAACAACTGGTTGATGGTCAGATATCTGAGCTTGGCATCTATCCTGCGGTTGATCCCTTGGATTCTACATCTCGCATGCTCTCTCCTCATATTTTAGGAGAAGAACACTACAACACTGCTCGTGGTGTTCAGAAAGTTCTTCAAGACTATAAGAATCTGCAAGATATTATTGCTATTTTGGGAATGGATGAGCTCAGTGAGGACGACAAGTTGACTGTTGCTCGTGCTCGTAAGATTCAACGGTTCTTGAGCCAGCCATTCCATGTTGCAGAAGTGTTCACGGGAGCTCCAGGAAAATATGTTGAGTTGAAAGAGAGCATTACCAGCTTCCAGGTGATCAACTTTTTCTTTTCTGAATTAGTCATTACTTTCATTTTTCTGTATTGATTGATTTAGGTGCCTACCCCTGCCATTCTCTCATGTTGTGCTGTGGGATTTCATTTTTACAGGGAGTTCTGGATGGGAAATATGATGATCTTTCTGAGCAATCGTTTTACATGGTTGGTGGAATTGAAGAAGTCATTGCCAAGGCAGAGAAGATTGCTAAGGATTCTGCTGCTTAATCACTTCCAGTTGGCATTGGCATTGGCATTGGCAATGCTGATGAGCTTCAAAAGAAAGAAAAAAAATCTCGAGGAGAAAACTAGCTTTTTCATTGAAGAAAGGATTTATTTTTGGTAGGGGGGATTGTATTAGGTAGAGAATTGAGGAGCGGGCAGATTCCGTTAGGTCCTTTTACTTCTGTGCAATAAGGTGTGCACTCATCTGTATTTGTCTATTTATAATCATTTGAGTTCTACGCGAAGGGTTTCTTTTGTCTTGTCTCGTTTTACATCTTGTCTGGTTCATCTTTTTTTAGGTTTTTTATTTTATTTTCTTGTACTAAATAAATTCCAAAGAAAGGGAGGCAATAAACTTGAACCTCACCAGATGATAGCCAATAACTGCAATGCAGTTTGAGTTCAGCCCACTAATTACTTGAGAGAACCAGTAAGAGAAGAGAGGCAAAGACCAATACTAGTTACCATTGTCAAAAAGAACATTGTCAAGCAGAAGAAAAGAAAACATTATTGGAAGGCAAAGACCAATACTAGTTACCATTGTCAAGCAGAAAAAAAAAAAAAACATTATTCTTATTTTATTTTTCACTCATTTAATCTTTTACATTGACAATTGAAGAACATTAATTCTTCATTTATTATCTTTCTAACTAAAATAAAAAAGAGCTACAACGATTGTTAGGAGCTTCAAATCTTCAAAATGGCTTATGAACTAGAGAAAGCTGCATTGTTTTGTTACTCAGTTGCTCTGCGTTTGAGTAAAACAAACAAGCTAACTGATTTCTTTGATTCGAGGACGCAGGAGGATTCTTCAAGTTTCTTGCCAAATGAATCAAAAAGCTCATCCATAATCTCATCTCCGAAATGCTTCCGAATCATTCCCTCCATTCCGGATCTCACACCAATGGCAAACACCTTGGGAGGTGGTTTTTCCTGTGTCAAGTTTTCCATTATTTCTACGCTGAAATATCCATTCGCTTTCACAATCGCTTCTACTTCTTCCAGAGAAGCGATATATTGTGGTATATTAAAGCAGTCCACTTTTTCTTCAGAGATGATACCCTACTCAGCAAAATAAAAAGGTCAGTTACCAGCTTAAGCTAAGCAGCATATCTTTGTCTTTTTTACACCATATATATGAGCTTAAAATTGAAGCTGATTAATTTCTTACCTTCTTGGCCATGTCCATGAGGCAGGATCCAAAGAGTTCTTTCGCTGTATTGACGAAAACTTCTGTATGAGGGATTCCATTGGGGCGGCCTGGGACAACAAAGGCCATCAATCCTCCACACACAATCTCTTGGGCTCTAGCGTTTAGAAAGCACTCCATGTCCTTGGCATACTGAGTTGTGTACGCCTTGACAACTTGGTCTGCAGACTTCGAGTAATGAATCCTCCCTTTGTTCCAAGCAGTAGAGTTCACGTCCACCACTTCTTCTGGCACTTTAGAGAGACAATGGAGAGCATATGAAGAGTAAGCAAAGTGAATAAAGGCCTTGGGAAATAAACGAGAATAAAAAGAGCCTGGAACACCCGTGGCGTAGTAACGCCTGTCTGGAGGCAGAGATTGGAAGAGCGCATTGAAATCATTGGAGGTGTGATCACTGAAAAAAACTTGGAACTCAGGGAGCTGAGAATTGTGTCCTTGGCTTTGATACTTTTGCTCCACAGCGTCCACTATGTTTTGCACTGCATGGAATGTGTTAGGCCCGACAGAGCAGCCTAAATCTGTAACTCGAAAGGTGTTTGAAGAAGAGAAGCTTTTGATATCAAGCTTTTCAGAAATTGCTTCTTTGATCAGTTCCTTGCCAGCATCTATAGCTTTTCTCTACAAAAAAGGACAAGCTTGGGTTACTTTGTATGAATTTAAGCACAGCAAAAATTCTGGAAAGAAAAAAAAAAGTACACCGAAAAATGAAGTCTTTGAGACAAGATTGTGATAATTGAGAGTGACATGTTGCACCTGAAAATTAGAGTTCTTGCTGTAGCTGTAGAGGCCATCTCCACCGTTCATAGGATATGCCCCCAAATCTGCCATCTCTGTTGTTGTTTCTCCTCTATGATTGTATCTTTTGGATGAATAGATCCTCTTCCTTTGAGGAGAAGGGCCTTATTTATTCCATTCGGAAATATTGACCAGTAAAAAGAAACAGAAGGAAAATTCTTCAGATATTCTTGTGGCTGCTGCAAGTTAATTATTACTTTTTCATCGGAAATGAAGCCATTGATGGAGTAAAATGGCCGCCAGCCGGCAAGAGAAGTATGACATTTATTCTTTAAAATATACAGGAAATTTGAAAAACAACACACCCCTAAACTGCAGATTCATAGGACTAATCGGTGTGGCGCCGCGCGGCGGGGTGGCCGCCGATCCTCACAGCTCTCGAGGTCTTGGACAACTCGATCCGACTGGTGCTTGAGGTAGCTCAGCATCTAGGCGAGAACATGGTCAGAACCATTGCCATGGATGGGACCGAAGGGCTTGTTAGAGGTCAAAGAGTCCTCAACACTGGCTCTCCCATCACTGTAAGTTCCTATTCTCTCGCTTTCTAATTATCTAAGTTGAAATCTTTTTTTTTTTTTTTTGGGTATGCTGGTTGCGTTTGGGATCATACATTTATGTTCTTATTGTGAATGTGCGTTTCTGAGATTATCTCGAGCAATATATTTTTTTTCTTAAAGAATTTTTTTAAATGAATGGATGCGGATTTAAGACTCTCATATCTAAATTTTTTATCTTTAGGTGGCTGTTGGTAGAGCCACCCTTGGCCGAATTATGAATGTTATTGGGGAGCCCATCGATGAGAGGGGTGAAATAAGTAAGCAGCCGCAGAAGATCTTAACCTTTTTACGTTATTTTGCATTTTGAGTATTTGTAAATAGTATTCAGCAAATAAATGATACAACTTCATGTTATTTTGTTTTCATTTCATCAGAAACCGATCACTTTCTACCCATCCATAGAGAAGCTCCAGCTTTTGTTGAGCAGGCAACTGAGCAGCAGATTCTTGTCACTGGAATTAAGGTATGTCTGTGGTCTGCTACATAAATAATAGACATCATAGATTCTAAGGAAACTGAGTCCAAATTCAAGGTTAATGGTGGTGATGCATACATTTGGATTGCCAAATTCTGGAAATGTTATTGGTTTCTGTTCTGTTTGTCACGATCATTTTTGGACTGACAGAGTTGAAGAGAGGACCAAGGACCATTGGTGCTTTCTTCTGTGAAGTATTAGTAATTTTTTTCAAAGGAAAAGTTGTCTTCTATCACTATCAGCATCAACAGAAACCAATAAGATTTTTGTCTGATGTTTTCAAGGTTGTTGATCTTCTTGCACCTTACCAAAGAGGTGGAAAGATTGGGCTCTTTGGGGGTGCTGGTGTCGGGAAGACAGTGCTTATTATGGAACTCATCAACAACGTAGCAAAGGCTCATGGTTAGTTCCATCTAAATGTATTTTAGTTATCCTCTTCTGTTGAATATTGATTTCTTGAGTTATAAAATGTTTCATCCTCCTTCTGCAGGTGGTTTCTCAGTGTTTGCCGGTGTGGGAGAACGCACAAGAGAGGGTAATGATCTGTACAGAGAAATGATGGAAAGTGGTGTCATTAAGCTTGGAGATCAGCAGGTTAACTTACCGCCACACTACATATTAACTTTTCCAATTTTAATTGGCATTGTGTTCTTCTGAAAGCCATTCCCTTGTATTGCAGAGTGAGAGTAAGTGTGCTCTTGTGTATGGTCAAATGAATGAACCCCCTGGTGCCCGTGCTCGTGTTGGGCTCACAGGGCTGACTGTGGCTGAGCATTTCCGAGATGCTGAAGGACAGGATGTGCTTCTCTTCATTGATAACATATTCCGCTTTACTCAAGTAAGCTCTGTCTCCACACACACAAACACGTGCATTTCGGTTGATATATTTTCTATTTCTTCTGAGCATATGCTGCCATTTTGTTGTCTCTGTTCGCCAGGCTAACTCAGAAGTGTCTGCTTTGCTTGGTCGTATCCCATCTGCTGTCGGCTACCAACCTACCTTAGCTACTGATCTTGGAGGACTTCAAGAGCGCATTACTACAACCAAGAAGGGTTCCATCACCTCTGTTCAAGCTATTTATGTACCTGCTGATGATTTGACAGATCCGGCTCCAGCAACCACTTTTGCCCATCTTGATGCCACCACTGTGCTGTCGCGACAGGTTTATTGTCTTTTAAATTCAAATAAATTTTGAAGCAGGAATCATTACTCATTTTTTGTTGTGCACCATATGTTCTTAAATCTAACAACTGGTTGATGGTCAGATATCTGAGCTTGGCATCTATCCTGCGGTTGATCCCTTGGATTCTACATCTCGCATGCTCTCTCCTCATATTTTAGGAGAAGAACACTACAACACTGCTCGTGGTGTTCAGAAAGTTCTTCAAGACTATAAGAATCTGCAAGATATTATTGCTATTTTGGGAATGGATGAGCTCAGTGAGGACGACAAGTTGACTGTTGCTCGTGCTCGTAAGATTCAACGGTTCTTGAGCCAGCCATTCCATGTTGCAGAAGTGTTCACGGGAGCTCCAGGAAAATATGTTGAGTTGAAAGAGAGCATTACCAGCTTCCAGGTGATCAACTTTTTCTTTTCTGAATTAGTCATTACTTTCATTTTTCTGTATTGATTGATTTAGGTGCCTACCCCTGCCATTCTCTCATGTTGTGCTGTGGGATTTCATTTTTACAGGGAGTTCTGGATGGGAAATATGATGATCTTTCTGAGCAATCGTTTTACATGGTTGGTGGAATTGAAGAAGTCATTGCCAAGGCAGAGAAGATTGCTAAGGATTCTGCTGCTTAATCACTTCCAGTTGGCATTGGCATTGGCATTGGCAATGCTGATGAGCTTCAAAAGAAAGAAAAAAAATCTCGAGGAGAAAACTAGCTTTTTCATTGAAGAAAGGATTTATTTTTGGTAGGGGGGATTGTATTAGGTAGAGAATTGAGGAGCGGGCAGATTCCGTTAGGTCCTTTTACTTCTGTGCAATAAGGTGTGCACTCATCTGTATTTGTCTATTTATAATCATTTGAGTTCTACGCGAAGGGTTTCTTTTGTCTTGTCTCGTTTTACATCTTGTCTGGTTCATCTTTTTTTAGGTTTTTTATTTTATTTTCTTGTACTAAATAAATTCCAAAGAAAGGGAGGCAATAAACTTGAACCTCACCAGTTGATAGTCAATAACTGCAGCGCAGTTTTGAGTTCAGCC